TCTACAGGGTGCCAGGCTGGGCAGTGCACCAGCCATTCTCCACTAACAGTAAATTACAACAAAATCAGCTCACAGCCAAGATAATGTGAAAGTAGAGGTCTGCCAGCAGTGTTACTTCAATAAATCAAAAGAACAGTCAGATCGGAACAGTTTGAAAACTTACTATTGCTTTGATTATTTTACAATTGGACTACTGAAATTACAATGCCTGCACAGTTTTTATACCTGTTGAGTACAGCACCTGATAAGGTTGATGTTTTGGGGAAAATATCTGTGACTTTGATTGTGAGTAGATTTGCAATTCATGTTTAATAATAGGATTCTGTTCAAAGTTCACATTTTAAACACAAATAATTGACTGAAATATGAACTGACAAACTAATACAAGAATCACATTTCAGGGCATGTATGTACAGATCTAAACTACACACTTAAATTATAGTTTTTCTACGCAACAACACAAGATATTTTGTTGTTTGTAGAGGAAATTATGGTTCTTTGTGATTTGCTAATTTCATTCATTAAAAGCGCTACTTTGAATCAATTGCGATTTTTCTTGCCGTTCTATTGGAGTATGTGTTCTCCATAGTCTGTTCATATAAATGGACATAGGCAACTTGCTTGGTGCCGTGTTCCAAATAGGAAGTGAGCATGGATGCGTTTCGGCTCCATCAACTCAGATTAACCCACTCATGATCCTGGTGTTTTAATTTCACTATTTTGTCCATAATTTAAGATATCAACATATGAACAGAATGAAAGAATTGGAGACATTTAAATTTGAGCACAACACGCCAACTAATAATGCCAAGCCTACGCATCTTGGTGCTTATAAGGCATACAGTTGGTACAGAGAATAAAATATGGATCAAAGCTGTGTTTGATGAACGCATATGTCCTAAAATATGTCCAAACAAATGTATAACTCTGTCACTGCTTGAAATAATATGTAAAGGCAACACTGTTTAGCTTTCTGCAGGTGGCACAGAACATTCTCCATTCTCCATTCTCCATATATGTGCTTTATGTAATATTGTGGAATATTGTAGCCAGTGTAAGTTCCAAATAGGAAGTGTTCAAAGAGGTTCTTCCGGCTCCTTCAACTCTGTTTCCAATTGACATTACATTGAGAAATTGTCACCCCTGTCTCTGTTACTGCTACAGTGAGCCTCGTCATTTTGGTCTTTTCATATTTCATGTTTCATATTAACCTACTCTACATAATCCTCGTGTTTTTATTTTGCCATTTTGTCCATGAATAAATTCCTATTCCTAATATGAAGCTTGGCACCCCATAACTGCCATGAGCTTCATTCTGACTGAAGCCAAACGCCACGGATGACGTCACACTCCCTTAGTCCGCTTCTTTGTACGCGTGCTTTTCTATGTTTTTAAGTGCACTAAAACAGTGAAAATTCAATAAAGAACAGGTTTTTTATTTAGTCTATTTTGTAGCTAGATTGAGTGTTTTTAGTTGTTTCCAGGTCCCTCCAATATCCTTGAAGGGACTCAGACATTATCTTAAAAAGTGCGTCACTGCAGATCTTTACAACTGCGGCCAGATGTGATTTCATAATAGATTGAGTAAGATGACAAAACCTCATTGTTATATAAATCATGTGGCACTTCTCATGATCCATAACCATGATCAGAAACAGATTTCCTGAACTTCTTTTACACAAGATCGCATACATAGAGGTGTAGCTCAACTCTGTCGGAAACTCCTGTCTTTCCTATGGGGTTTGTGAGTGTGACTGTGCTGGCCTTTGAAGTCAGGAGTCAAGAAAAAAAAAAAAAACCTCTGGGAAAATGGCTCAGATCCACAGCTCGTCTCCTCCCCTTTAGTCTGTAACTGAGAGCAGAGCAGCCTTCCTCTCCCCTTCGTCATTATAAAGTCAAGAGAAAGACGTGCAGTTACAATGATCTATTCGACAAGGCCTATACTGCCTTTTTGTCAAGATTATGTCTACTGGGGCAGAGTCATTTCTAAACCATCACTGAATCCATTGAAAATTTGTCATACTTTTCTCTTCTCGTTCTGGGATTAATTAAGGATTCAGAAGAAGAAGATATGTGCTTATTATAATGAAATGGTCCGTCAAATCTAAATGATGAGAGAAGTGAGAGAGATAAAGACTTTTTATTAAGTATGCAAACCTTTTAGCTGGTACGAGACATGGGTTTAAAGGGCCCATATTACCACATATGATTTGTTATAATGCTGTTTTCTTGTCAAAAACATACCTGGAGTTGTGTTTTGTTTCATTCACATGTTGAAAACACAAACAGAAAACACCCTGTTCTACCTACTGATGTCATGTGGTAATAAAGGAAGTGCTCCACTGTGTTTTTAACTCCATACAACTTCACTAGAACCATTTGGATGATTTCAACCCAGGAATTGTCAATCTATGCTGAACGAAATGTAAAAATGTTAACTTGAAAACTATCGTGTCATGACATCACAAGGTGGAACAGAGCATTTTGAGTTTTGGAGATGTGTCAAACATGTGTGAATGAAGCAAAACACAACTCCAGGTATGTTTTCAATGAGGTAACAGCATTATAACAAGACATAAACCTCACAAGAGTCAGCTTTGTGTAATGTAGGACCTTTAACTATGGCAGCTCGGAAATGCACACATCCTACCAGAGCTCCATAGAGACAGACAGAGAGCAGTGGAGCAGAGTAAATGTTTGTCAGATTTCTCCATAGTGTTGAGAGAAAGGGCTACTGAGACTTGTAATTTGCGATCTGTCGTCTTGTTCTTTCGAAATGACAGGATTCAGATAGACAAGACTGTAAACAATGAGGCCAACCAACCGACATCATTGAATTTGGTGAAACTGAATAATCAGTGCATTGTTACTGTTAAATGAAATTCACTTCTTTGTAAATATGCTAAATAATTTCTATGTGTTTGTTATTTTCAAACAAGGCAAACAGTGGGGTTGCATAATGTTAATGTTGATGCTCAGAACTGTGTAGAGTAAATGCTTAGGAAATAGCTGACTTGTGTTGTTAAAGGTGCATTGTGTAACCTTTCTGGTGGAGGGTCCGTCAAATGTTTTTCTACATGGAGATGTTCTTCCTTCGTCTGGAATGTTTCACAGTATGGTATTAAACCTTTCTATCTTCATGGAGACCAAACCAGACCAAGTTACAGGTCAGCTCTATGGAGAGGCGGCCCCACTCACTCTCAGAATGCCTGTATTTCTAGGTATTTTTGAGTTATAAAACCACCTGTAATTGAATAAATCTAAGGTAGAGCTGTTTAAGAGCAATGACATATCCACAGAAACAAGCAGGTGATGGACCCAACCAGAAAGTTACGCAGTGAATCTTTAAACACGTCCCACTCAAATATCATTACAGTAGCCAACAGTTTTTGAGTTAAGCTTTTTTGGCTGTGTTTGCTAATGTGAGCATTGTGTCACCATGGTAACTGATGTATTGATTCTGCCACGCACATACATGTAGAACACCCCAGTGTAATATCACTGCAAAGTATCAATAAATGTAATGCTTTATTTAGTGGTAGGTATTATTAAATGTAGTAAGTATTAAATGCGGTAGACCTATTTAATGAACATTCCAGGCAAAGAATAACATCTCCATGGATACAGGCAAGTTGCTTCAAACCAGCTGGAGGAAGCGCATGGGGAGAGGGACGCCGGGGCATCTAGGCATTGATTAACAGATATTAACATTAACTGTATATTGGAATCTTCTCAGTGTAAATCCAAGAAACTGAGCTGAGTATTCTGTGAAAACTGTAGCGGCGTGCGTCCATAGGAGCTGTGGTGGGAGGAGGGCACGCAGAGGGCAGTGTTGACGTCATGAGGTGAACGGCCTAAATATAAGCCCTGGTGCCTGAGGCTATAGAGTTCCTGCTTTTCCCTGATTCAGCCTAAAACACAGATACTTCAGATTCCTCCTCTGTTATAGGCTCATGTAGTTCGCTTAAGGCTGAACTCTAATACAAATATATCTGAGGAAAAGTCGTGACAAAAGTGAAATTCTTATATTTCTGCAACTACATACAATGGCTGTGTGCATAGCAACCCTAACAGTAACTTTTATTAAAATCATAAAATATAAAATAAACAACCAATTAAAATTCAAATTAATAAAAGTCAAGACTACCCTATTGTTTTTATATGTAAATATGTATATATACATTAGGGTTGGGTATCATTAAGACGTTGCCGATATGATACATATCTCGATACATAGGCCACGATACGATACATATCTCGATACATAGGCCACGATACGATACATATCTCGATACAGTGAGCTTTTGATTCGATACCCTATATTTCAAATCGAATCAATATGGTTTAATAAAAAATAAAGGCTAAATCATGGCTGTGACAATAAAAGTCTTTCTTAAACCACTTCTTGTGCAAAGTTCATATGAAACATAAACATTTAATCATCAAAACAGTGAAAATGTCAAATGTGTTGCATATACGAGTTTCCTTTCTCTAAACAAGCAACAAAACTGTGGCACTGTAACAAAATTATTTAGTTAAATATAGAAAAAAAATACTTTTTGCGATATATCGATACCGCAGCCCAGGATATCGATACTGTATCATCATATTAAACGATACAATATATCGATATTTCAATATTTTTGCACACCCCTAATATACATATATGTATATATGTAATACTTCAGTGTTTTATGTTGTTTTAGTATTTATTATATATATATTTTTTCTTTTTTACACAAATCTCTACCTTTCTAAAAGCAGAACTGCCCTTTTATTTGTGTACTTTTTAATATGATGTCAGTAAATATTTATTCATTTTAGCTCGACTCAGCAAAAACCCCATAGATACACAATTGAACAGGAAGTAGTGATTCTAACAGTGTGGAATGCTGGGCGCTCTTGTGCACAGAGCCTAACACAAGAAATATTATGTAAACTTTGAGACATCCAGGAATAAGACATCATAAGTGAGTTAAAACAAAAACAAATGAACTTACTTGTGAAACGTGGTATTCAAGAAGCTATGTTAGTCCAGATGTTTTCGTTTAAAGTGGCTTGCGATGTAGACAGAGATGGTCATGCTCCACCTTCGAAATAAATGAAAACAATTTTCTCAGTGTCAAGTAATTATAGAAAAGTGCTACAAGGCTGATCAAATTAAACTACCCATTTGTTAATCAGTACAACCAGGATTAACTGCAAATTCTGTAAGCTCATATTGTAAATTCACAGACTATTTGAACAATCAGTGGTAGAGGAAATGGGCTAAAATAAGAGCAATTTATTATTTTTGAACGATATATTTGATTGTGTATATATGTGTATATGAAATAAATAATAGTTCCTCGGATTTAAATGTTTCATTAGTGATTGGTTAGTCAAAAATGTAATTAAAAGATAATTATTATTACAAAACAGTATTTTGTAACTAATTTGTATCAAACACTCCATCATTAATAATAAGATTACACAGTTAACAATCCCAAACACAAGTTATCATCTCTTTACTTTGCTCTTTGCTGCTGAACTCCACTGACTCTGCAGTATTGGATACACAGGGGACAATAGCCAACCATACATCATGTAACGGAAGACAAGAAAATCTGAGGAATTCTGTGTTCATGGCTCTGGGTGTCGAGTTCAAAGACTGTGACAAATGAGACGAAACAAGGTCCACTTTAAAGTCTGCTCAACTTCTTTGAGCCATATAGGTCCATACACAGGGCACAGTAATGCACAGGCTTATGTCTTATAATTAGGGATGTAACAATAACCGAAATATCGTGATATCGCATTGTCAACGTTCTCACAATAGTGTCGTGGACCATCACAATATATTGATTCGCATGTCTCTTTGCTTAAATTAAGAGTTATGGTGCAGCAATAGCTAAAAAAAAGATGGAGGGAACTACATAGACCATAATCCTTTGCTCCATTACAGTGCAGACTACATGAAGAAATAACAGTTCTAAGCACTTTTAAATCTTCTTTGAGTTAAGTCTTGTCAAGGTATTAACAGTTTTGTTTGCCTCCACAAAATATTGCAATAAATATCATACTGTGAGATGAATATCGTGTCGAGAGATTTGGATATGGTTAATCCATAATCATGAACCTCCCCACCATATCATGAGCTTTCCAACAATCTCGCAATAAATATCATACCGTGAGGTTCATACCGTGATGGTATTGTACTGAGACTTGGATATCATTACACCCCTACTTATAATCTTATCTTAAGGATATAAACTGTGAAAACTCTAGAGGCTTAGACTTGGACACAGTAGCTCACTCATCACATCACAGAAACTAAGAGAAAAAATGGTAAAAACAAATTCTAAAAAGTAGCAAAAAAAATAGCAAGACACTGGTGTCAGACAACAAGGCATAATTATATAAATGTATATGTACAAGTAAAAATAAAATTGAAAAATATCTCAGCTATAGTGTGTTAAGGAAAACAGTGCAAAGATGATATGATGATTGACAGGACATAGGGCTATCTGTTACATAAGGGTGAGTTGTTGGACAGTTGTACAGAGTATTATATGAATGTAGTCCTGTAACTCTCACTGTTTGAGTGGAGCTGTAGGAGCCTGTAATATTATTAAATGCAGTTATGTTAAAGTAATGAATATAAAGACCAATGTTTTCTTACTATGAAAACTGTCAATGAATTTAAAAAACTTAACCTGGACATGGCTGTGTTTAGAAGATAAAGAAATAAAATGCTGGGTTTCAGAATGATGAAAAATTAGGACCAATGCCATAGCAACTAAAAATCTTCTGAATGGGGAAAAAGTCCTCCAAATATTGCATAAAACAGGAAGCTGGAACCCATGAATAGACTATTCACGGGTGCAATTTTGAGAAAGATTTACTATTCAAAGGACAGATTTATTTTTTCAATCGCTTTATTGCTATAGCAACAGCCCAAATTTTGCATCAATCTGAAACCAGTGGACACAGTGCCTGCACCAGAAAGAGGACATTCAAACCACATTCACAATATCATGCACCAAAAAAGTTAATTTCTTGACATAAGATTAAAACTTCTGTTAAATACCTACTAAATATTTTATGATCTCTCTGTGTTCTATACATTCTGTGGTATTTTTAGCAGTGAGCCATTTGCATAGTGTACAGCAACTTTCTATTTTCACTCACTGTAAATGTTCTTGGCAGCAAAAAGCAGCATGAGTTTGGGAATAGAATAAGAAAAAGAGGAGCTTTGCTAGACTACAAAACACCCAAATATTCCCATTGCAACTAAACTGACGATGGTTAGAGCAGACATTTTATGAGCTGAATTCACAATCTGTATTTGAGATCTCTGTATTGTTATGTGCATCTATTTAAAATGTAGTTATATTTTTGCACAATGCTCTAAATTTTTAAAAGTGCACTATGTAACTTCTAAGGTGGAGGCTCCGCTACTTGCTTGTCTCCATGGAGATGTTATTTCTTTGCATTCTTTGAATATTCCACAGTAGAGCATTAAACATATCTTGCTTGCATTTGTTCAGTTACAGGGGTTGTAGCTCAAAAATACCGAATTCTTACCATGTGCAGGCTTGCTTCTCCATAGATCTGACCATTAACCTGTCTCCACTGCGATTACCAAGTTTATTTCCATATTGTAGAGCAGGGGTGTCAAACTCATTTTGGTCCGGGGGCCATATCCAATCTACTTTGATCTCAAAGGGGCTGGATCAGAAAACTCATGGCATATATACCCCAAAAATAACATTAAGTTCAAATATTTGTGCAGAGAAACGCAAATCTATTACAGAAATATTTTTCATTGATGAACTCTTTCTTTTACAAAATATTATAATATTATGAACAACCTGAAACTTTAAGAAAAATCCAATTTCAACACAATGTTTTAACTTTAACTTGTATGTAAATAGGAATAAGTCAATTTTTCTTGGAAAATTCTGCACTCGGCGTCCCCTTTTCTCATGTTGGACATTTTTCTGATGAGGGTGTCACGGTCGGCAGTCAAAACGATCGTCCTTTAAGAGCGTTTGGAAAGAGACAAGTCTTCATTTGTGCTGCACTGGTGGGAGGGGCCACGTACAGAGACGCTGGAGACACTGCTGTGCTAAGCGACGCAGAAAATTACCAATATTTTAATAGAAAATATAATTTAAATATTTTAGTAGAAAATCAGCCAAGGGCCAGATTAAAGGTCTTGGAGGGCCGGATCTGGCCCCCGGGCCGTATGTTTGACACTTGTGTTGTAGAATAATCAAGGTAAAAGAGTAATATCTCCATGGAAACAAGCAGATGGCAGACCCTCCACTAGAAATGTTACACAGTGCACCTTTAAGTTCTGAGTGTTCACATTATGTTTACTATGTTTCAGTATAGGATTAGACAACACTTTCAAAGTCCTGTATGCGATTTTGTTACTGTTAATTAACTTTGTCCCACTCTGATGTTGCACCATGACTGAGAACTGTCTGGTATAGTCTGAGATAGGGTTGGGCGGTATCCAAATTCTGATACCATGAAACCGTCTCAGGATTTTACCGGAGTATACGGTATTACCGTATTATGAAAATGTTTTAGGATGACATTGGTAAACTACAAAACCGCAAAGCTGTACGATCTATGTGTATGACCTGAAAAGTTAAAACACGAACTGTCTCCAACGTGACACACGCACAGAACAGACTCACAGTCATCCGCAACATCCTCTGTCGCAGAAAAAACACATATTCCACTGAAAAAACATATATCCCACTGAGTCGTGTCCTTTAGTCCGACAGAAACTGAACCATGTCAGCAGCACGAGAAGCGAGCTGTTTTTATCAGTGCTTACAGTTCATTCAAATTAGCCACGCGGTTTTAAGTTTTGCTTCTGTAAAACATAAAGAAATGTGCACCTGAACCAAAATGCTGCCAAATCGCAGAAGTACTAGTATTTTTTTTATTTTTCCCCAAGAAACATTATAGACACTATTAGATTTAAATCGTGATAACATTAAATTGAAAATACAACCACACATTAATTTGTGCTGAGTAAACTAATTTAGATATCAGTAAATTATAATATTATATTAGGTTCTTATGCGCTGCAGATTTTTTAAAATGACGGTAATTAAACTGATACTGTTGCTATTTTTTGATACCACGGTATACTGTAATACCATATTACCGCCCAACCAGTTGCATGATGGGACTTCTGGCTCTTTTATGGAATCCGAATCTTTGGACTTGTTCGAAAAACTGGCTCTTTCACTATTTATTTACATGACAGAAGCCAATGTGAGAACTCATTTTATCTCCTAACTAATCACAGAGAGAAACAACCAAGGCTCAGATTTGTTTAAAATGGCCTAAACTGGGAGTGGACGTGTGTTTACCCATGGAAATTATGCATAATCCAAATAAAACATTTCATGACAATCAAAATAACAAACAACACTGTTATTGTGATGTCAGATACATTTGTGTTCTGTGCACAAAGCTCTCTGTCGTGTTGGCTGCTCTACCTCAGCGCTGATTTTTGTGTTAGCTGTGTTAATCAGGATAAAAATGCATTTCAAAATTAGAAAGAAAAAGATTTGCCTCTTTTCAAACAAACGTCACATCGCTAGTTGAAGCTATGGTTCTCATACCACAACATCTAAATGTTCAAACAGATCATTACATTATGTTTGCCTATCAAACACCTTCACTAAAATCATGTGGACAGTTTCAGACCAAGAATTGGTCTTGATCTACACTGGCTGAAACTAAAATGTAGCTGTCAACTTGAACACTGCCACTACATGACATTTGGAGATAGACACAAAAATAATAAAGGATTACTCAAACATGTGTGAATGAAACAAAACGCAACTCGAGATATGTTTTTGATGAGGTAAAAATATTATAGCATGGCTTAAATCTCACAAGAGACAATGTTGCGTAATGTAGGACCTTGAACCATTATAATTATCAAGTTCAAAATAATAAATTGCCTGCCATATATCTGAGATTTGGACATGATCAAATTGCAAAACTGGGTCCAAACAGATACTACTTTTACATAATCCTGCATTCTTGTATATATATATGAGTTGTATGTTTTGTC